TTTGCCCCCCCCCCCTTAAGAGCTTCTAGGGGGGGGGGCAAAATTTGAACCGTAAATTCAAAACATTTGACCTTCGATATTTTAAAGGTATACATTCCAATATATACCATATATATACAAGGACTACTTTATCTCTCCATCAAACAAATTACTAGCAGAAAAAAACAGCGAATTTATGTTTTTAATTATACTCTTCGACACTCTTTAGTATCAGATTTGAAAAGTGTGAGAGCTCTGAGTTCTAGACTATAGGTCTAGGAGGGGCACTACGTCCCGCTTGCCCCCCTGTATATGCCCTTGAAAAATAACTTTTGAAAATGTCGTAACGGTTTTTCAGATCATTAACGGTGCAGGCCGAATTAAAGCTTGTTTTTTAGTACATATATAAATAGTGGTAATGGTTTGCCAAAAACTCCAAAATTAATCCATAAAAAATCGTAACAGTTTTTATCAAATTGACACTATAGAACTTGGCCGTCAGCAAATTGTAAAAACAAATCTTTAAAAGAGTTAGGCGGATGTCCCCCAAATTTTCCAGGGGGGGGGGTACTTCCCCCCTTTCCTCCCCATGGCCGCCTCTGTTATACTTGGTTTGCTTAGACTACTGACTGAGTAGTGAGTATAGTGACTATTATAGTGAGTACATTTAATACATATGAGTTTTAGTAAGGAGCACATCGTAAAAAACGTGATTTTGGGGTATATAATGAAATAATTGAAAATTATTAAGTTATTTTTTAAAATAAAAAAATGAAAGCTATTTGGTTAAAAAAAATATATTTTAAAATTTTGAGTCTACAAAAAAAGAAATATTTAATCCCCCTCTCGATTCCAGATTTGCGCAGAACACCAAATTGTAGTTGTAAACATCCTCACTCCTCAGCAGTCAGCACTAGTAGACACCAGTCGCTCCTATACTGACAATACAACTGTGATTCTGTGATCAATTACATGTACTGTTTGAAATGTATTTATAAATTGTAAGACATTAATCACATTAAATTTGCATATGTTTCTACCCTCGGCCGTATGACGTATATCGTGTCAACTCGGTATATTCCTAGAGAACGATTTTTGGACCCCTCCCCGCCCCCCCTCCTATCAATTTTGTACATGGATCTTATATGTTAGACATGGATATAACTGACCATGTGGCCGCAGCGCTCGGCCCCCTAGCCTGTCTGCCGCAGCGCTCGGCCCAGAAAGTGTCTTAACTAACCTAACCCACGTGGCCGTAGCGCTCGGCCCCCTAGCCCATCCTAGCCGCAGCGCTCGGCCCAGAAAGTGTCTTAACTAACCTAACCCACGTGGCCGTAGCGCTCGGCCCCCTAGCCCATCCTAGCCGCAGCGCTCGGCCCAGAAAGTGTCTTAACTAACCTAACCCACGTGGCCGTAGCGCTCGGCCCCCTAGCCCATCCTAGCCGCAGCGCTCGGCCCAGAAAGTGTCTTAACCTAACCTAACCCTAAATAATGCTAAACAAATACTAATTTCGTCATGTACAAAATTGATAGGAGGGGGGGCGGGGGGGGGGGTCCAAAAATCGTTCACCAGGACAGACCCGGCCCCCTAGCCGCAGCGCTCGGCCCAGAAAGTGTCTTAACTAACCTAACCCACGTGGCCGTAGCGCTCGGCCCCCTAGCCCATCCTAGCCGCAGCGCTCGGCCCAGAAAGTGTCTTAACCTAACCTAACCCTAAATAATGCTAAACAAATACTAATTTCGTCATGTACAAAATTGATAGGAGGGGGGGCGGGGGGGTCCAAAAATCGTTCACCAGGACAGACCCGTCAACTCTGTGAACCTACCTCACCTACCTAGTCAGCAGTTTAGGCTCCTCCCCCCCGCGTTGTTTGTTATCCTAAAATGTGTACTGCAGTTTCTGGTAAGAAGGTAAATTTTGTCAATTGTCTCGTTGTCAATATGTCAAGGTTGTTTAATTTTAAGTATTCATTATTATTTCATTTTTAAACTCTGTAATATTTTAAGAATTTTAAAATGAGTAGAAACAAATCTTCTAAACGTAAGCACTCGGTCCATTGGTTCCGCAAAGGACTGAGATTGAGTGACAACCCAGCTCTGCTGAGAGCTATTCGAAGATGTGAAACCTTTCGATGTATCTTCATCTTGGATCCATGGTTTGCGGGATCATCTAACGTTGGAACTAACAAATGGAGGTAAATATAACTAAATTTAACATTTAAGGAATTCTAATTGACTGTTTATTACAATGGACATCCGTTCAGAATTAGTACACATAGCTATTTGTGGACCCATCTCCCATTTTATGACTCCCNCCCCCCCCGGCCCCGACAATTTTTTTGCTTTACAATTCGATGATGGTGATGGACCAAACCTCTGAAGAGTAAAAAAGTAGATGTTAGTTCCACATTCATTTAAAATATATTTCGGTCTGGGTTGACACTCGTCAGTTCTTAAGATTGTTTCCGTCACTAAGGTTAAAAACAAACAAACAGTGCCAGTCATATAGAAATCATCAAAGTTATAATGTCTTTTTAAGTCAGTTGTTAGGCCGTGCCCCTAAGACGAACCAGGGATTCCAAAATATAATTTTTAAGTCGAGAATCAGCGAAATGAATGTTGACATTTTCTTAAACACTTCCAGGTTTCTGCTCCAGTGTCTTGAGGACCTTGATAACGGGCTCAGAAAACTCAACTCCAGATTATTTGTGGTCAGGGGTCAGCCTGCAGACGTTCTACCCACACTATTCAAGGTTTATATATTTATTTGTGGTCAGTGGTAAGCCTAAAGATTGATTGATTGTCTGATTGATTGGTTGATTGATTGATTGATTGATTGATTGATTGATTGATTGATTGATTGATTGATTAAGTAACTACATCTAGGCATGGGGGACGACATATTTCACCTTTGAGGAGGATCCAGAGCCCTTCGGTCGAGTTCGGGACCAGAATATTATGGCGATGTGCAAGGAACTCATTGAATCTTGAAATCTGTTTCTAGTATTCATTATTTTCCACATATGATATCAGATATATTTATGTAATCTGAAAATAAAAAGGTCTAGTCTTCATTCGTTCTCATGGAAAGCAGCAAACATAAATTGCTTTTAGTTTTTTTATTCCATTGAAATATTAAAGTTTTTCTTGCAGTATGTGCACTGTAGCGTGTGTATTCTTTATTATATCATATCTGTTTGGTTCCATAGTAGTAAACCTATCGTGCGAGAATTCCTATTATTACACGGTTAGGAGAAGAAATTTCAATGTTGTTGGCTTCCTAGCGTCTAAGAATGCTTATTTTTACAGTATGTGTAGAATTTACATTCTTTAATGCTCAGCCCGTGTAAGAATGGAAATTACTACACGTTCAGAGCCTAAACAAATGTTTATTCTTACACGCTCCGAGCATTATAGAATGGAAATTATTACACCAGTTGAAGAGTATTCATAATATCATATCTGTTTGGTTCCATAGTAGTAATTCTATTGTGTAAGAATTCCCATTATTACATGGGTTAAGGGAACAATTTTTTAGTTTTTTTATTGCAAACCAAGTTTTGTAAGATTTTGCAAATCTCTGCATATTTCAAATAACTGTTTTCTCCTTTATTAACTAAATACTGAAGAACAAGCGCCTTTACAAAGTTCCAATTTTCAGTTGTAATATTTGGACAAATAAGACAGAATTAAGAGGTTAGTTTAATAAACTAGTTATTGAAATACCAATGTTTCACAAACTTTTAGTGGGGTCCTAGCACTCAATAGCAATAAAAACAAATCTTAATTTATAAATAGAAGACCATTTCATTTCTTGAACTGGTTCTTGATAGATAACCTGCTATTCTCTCCTCTTTTTAGATGATTTAGGATCCACTATCCAGCAAACGAATTCTTCTGTAAATGATTTCACTACTTTTATCAGTAGGTTATAAAATCCACTACTATTCTCTACCTTCTCCCCATCTTAAAACTCAGGACACTTGAAAAATCAAGCAAATGCATTATAAATTGGTAAACAAACTGAAATAAGGAAACAATCACACCACATGCATTATTTTCAAATGAAGAATCAACTTTAAAAATAAGAGCTTTTAACATTTTAGCATTGTAACATTAGAAAATTAAAAAAACGGCGATAGTCAAGAGCATCAATGAAATATAAAAACCTATTTGCAACCCTTCACAATGTCAATTGCTCCAACTTAAAATAGTCGCAATTTATCAGTTTTAAGTTTTAAAATCTAGTTTCTTGGGTATGTACTCATGGAACCTCACAAATATGATATAATACCAATCTTTTAAGGTAATTATGGAATTATTCTTAAACTCGTTGAAATAATCTTGATGCATTCTTTAACTCAGGCCTGCGGGCTTCGTTAAAGAATACATCAAAGAATTCATCTCGTTTAAGAATTTCCATTATTACATTTTTTTCCTCATAAGATTATCATAGTCTTTATAGTTTTGTTCTACGAGTAGAAAATATTTAAATATTCAACGCACGTATACAGGAGATGGGCATTGTGGTAACAAAAGAGCATTCACACACACTCTACAACTTAGAGAAGTATTATTATTATTAGTATTATTACTTTTAAGATCATAACTATTATTATTATTTTAGCCTCCCCCCCTTTCAGATACAGCTCAGATCCCTCTAATTCATAAACAAAGATAATAACAAATTTTATGAACGAGTAAATTTTCTAAAAGAAATTGATTTCTTGCCTTTTATAACCGTTTTATATATTTTAAGTTTTAGAATAAATTTCTAAATTAAGTTTGGTCGTTGTGATATGTGATATACAAGAAGCCTCATTTTTTCAAACTGCACCCTTTATTAAAATTCCTGATATTTAATTTTTCTAAATTTTTTTTCCCTTGTTTAGAATAATCTACAGAAACGGCGGGAAGGCGCCCCTGACTTATAAAACATTTCAAACAATTATTGAGGTAGGGTTTACTTTTTCCTTCCGTCAGTGCTTAGGATCCATTTAATTTTGATGCGGATCCGGATCCTGGATACGCACTAGAAAAAATGGATCCAGATCCAGGGCATGAACATTGCTTATAGATTTATTGAATTTTTTTAACAAAGCAGAATTGTAAATTTTTTTTTTCGCTTGTTTTTATACTTAAACTTGATTAACCATCCAGAAATTATGAAAAATTTATAATTTCTCGTTTTTTCTACTCTCAGATTTAGATTTTGAGAGTAAAAAGTAATTTTTTTACAGTTTTTGGTTGATATTTTGCAAATGGATCCGGATCTAGGAAGCCAAAGTCATGCGTATCCTACGGATCCGGATCCTAAGCACTGTCTTTTAAAACCCTTCTTGAATTTAAATTAGAAAATATAATCCATATCTAACCTTGAACCCATAGTAGTTTGTACATTTTATTTTTTCTTCAAAATATTGGAATAGTTCTTCATGTTTCGCAATCAAATCAAAATTTTAAAAAGTCTTATATCCCGTGTATAGTGAATATACTCCAGATTATAAATCCATAATTTTCCTTGATCCCTGATATATTCTAGGGTATGGATCCATAATTATCCTTGATCCCTGATATATTCTAGAGTATGGATCCATAATTATCCTTGATCCCTGATATATTCAAGGGTATGGATCCATAATTATCCTTGATCCCTGATATATTCTAGAGCATGGATCCTCCGTCTAAACCTGTTCCAACCTTGACCCTGCTGATGCTCGGAACTGGGATTACTCCACTTTCAGGAATCCAGTTTTAAAAATTATCCGAGTTTTTCAAATTAAAAAATGTACGGAACTGGCCTCATCTCATTCCTTGATCTGCTATCTCTTCAAACTCATTATTAATCAGTAGAGTAAAGGGCGTTATTTGGTTATAGTTAAGCATATCTTTTCAGATTTTTAGGAAAAACACCTAGAACTCACTAGTCACTTTAGTTAAAGAGAAATTGTTTGAAGAAATATACATTCCAAAGTTTGAAGATATTTGAGTAAGAAGCCGAAGAAAAAATGGAAATGATTCATCATTGGTTTAGATACACAGGTTGCTTTAAAGCATATCCAACTGCTGTATTTGGTCATATATTTCACTTAGGTTGGTTATAAATTGTGTTTTTTGGTTATAGCGTTAAACTTCACTTAGATTGGTTATAAATTGTGTTATTTGGTTATAGTGTTATATTTCACTTAGGTTGGTTATAAATTGTGTTATTTTGTTATAGTGTTAAACTTCACTTAGATTGGTTATAAATTGTGTTATTTGGTTATAGTGTTATATTTCACTTAGGTTGGTTATGAATTGTCTTATTTGGTTATAGTGTTAAACTTCACTTAGATTGGTTATAAATTGTGTTATTTGGTTATAGGGTTAAACTTCACTTAGATTGGTTATAAATTGTGTTATTTGGTTATAGTGTTAAACTTCACTTAGATTGGGTATAAATTGTGTTATTTGGTTATAGTGTTACTGTTAAACTTTATCATTTAACACTCGTTAAAGCTGTTACAGTAAAAATGTTCATAACAACACTTTTTCAATTAATCTATTCCTAACAAAAAACGTTTAAATTATTTTTCACAACAAATATTAACATCCAAATCCGACAAGAGTAAACTTCAGAAAAAAAATTAAAATTATTTGATTTTAATATTCTTCACCCTAAGCACCAATAAATATTGAAAACCTTTTCTACGACATTAATCTTTCTTCCTCTTCTTACTGAGGATCATCGAGCTGTTCAGCGAAGAGTATATCATCTAGATGCTCAGCGAAGGGAGGATCATCAAGCTGATCAGCGAGTGGAGGATCATCAAGCTGTTCAGCGAAGAGTAGATCATCTAGATGCTCAGCGAAGGGAGGATCATCAAGCTGTTCAAGGTGTTCAGTCCACTTGAAAACAGTTCCTGGCATGATCCAATTGTTGGGAGCTAGTTCATTCCAAGGAAACAATCCAGTTCTTGCACATATATTGTCATCCCTGAGAACTTTTCAGTGGCTTCTCATAGCTTGCTGACAACAAAATATTTGAGCAAACTGGACCCAACATGGTTGGTTTAAAAATATCATAAAAGATGTTTTAATTCAACCTTAGTACTGTTTCATATAAGTGTTAAACTATAACCACATTCAGCAATTTCATGTATAACCAAATACCGCAACTTGCGAAAATATTTATATAGTTTTGTAGTATGCATAACTTTTGATATGCAATACTTAAACATTGACACTTAAAATTTTGTTTATTAAACAATCAATAAACCCTACAAAGCTTGAAATGCATGTTTTAGCTCTAAGATTTCAAAAATGCATTATTTTGCATATTTGCATATAAAAAAATTCGCGACTAAAGATTTACAAACCTGATAATAATATTTTAGTATATTTTGCAATGATATTAGGGTTGAAAGATGGGTGTAACCAAATTCAGCAATTTTTTATAAACCGATTTAAATTAGTTCCGAAAGTTCCCCTTTTTTTTGGTGCTACAAATGATGAAATAAAGCCATTGATAGAAGGAAAGTATCGCTTGTTGGTTTATTGATAGGTTTGGGGCCGTAACTCTGGGGGTAAGGACGAAATCCTCTCTTGCAAAAATTTTAGTCACGGGCCTAGCTAGGTTTATAAATGCCGGCCTGTTGATACATAGAGAGATACTATGGTTGATTTATTGATAGGTTGATTAAATGCCGGCTTGATACAGATACAGAGATAGATACTGTGGTTGATTTATTGATAGGTTAATTAAATGCCGGCCTGATATAGATACGGTGGTTGATTTATTGATAGGTTGATAATATATTGACAGATTGGTTGACAAATAAATGAAGCATTAAGTGTTTGGGTATTTCCTCACTATTAATTTTTGGATTTATCGAAGACGACCATGATGAAAAGTATGGGGTTCCCACTTTAGAAGAACTAGGATTCGACTGCGATCATCTTAAACAATCTGTTTGGGAAGGCGGAGAGACTGAAGCATTATCAAGGTACACCTAGAGTACAGGAGATATCAAGGTACACCTGGAGTACAGGGGGTATTAAGGTCCACCTAGAGTATAATGGATATCAAGGTACACCTAGAGTACAGGGGATATTAAGGTACACTTAGAGTACAGAGGATAATAAGGTACACCTAGAAGGCTCGAGTATAGGGGATATCAAGGTACACCTAGAATACACGGGATATCAAGGTACACCTAGAGTACAGGGGATATCAAGGTACACCTTAAGTACAGGGGATATTAAGGTACACCTAGAGTATAGGGGATATCAAGGTACATCTAGAGTACAATATAGTAGATATTTAAGTAAAACCCAGAGCTAAAAAATTATTAAAGCGTAAACAGAATTGATTGGTGTTTCATAACCTGTTAATGTTATTATATTGCAGGGTCTTCTCTGCAATTATTCTATGAAATGGGTGTTTTGAAGTGTTATAAAAGGCCTTAATCATTTGTTTTTCTACCTAGGGGGTTTTTCAGTTATTGAAGGAACGCTAATATTTCTTATAACAGCCTTATTACAGCTTTTTATACATGAGAAGATTATTTATTTACTAATTATAGTTTACATGTAAAATTAATAAGATGTTTCCATTTATTAAATTTATTTTATTTTATTAAATGTTCTCGTAAATGATTTTGTAAAATGAAACTTGTATTACCAATGTGGAAAATACTCTCGAAATTAGTGATAGTGAGAAAAAAATATCGAGTGGTTTAATTTAACTTATTTTTGATAAATTGAACATGTTTGGAAATAATACATCGTTGTGCTGAAAACACTTTTTCCTATTTTCCAACAACAAATTTTTTTAATGATAATATCTCTTTTTATTCATATAATAAAACAAGACATTCGTATGTATGTTCCCTAAAGCCGCCAGCCAAACGGCTGAACCAAATGAGCTTAATTTTTTGTGGACACTCATGGGTAGCCTGGGGGTCATAAAGGCTAAAAAAAGAATTTTCTTTAAACATTTTTTTTTACCTAAAATTTTTTGAAATATTTTTTTTCCCACGGGCAACGCCAGGCCCTTCAGCTTGTTCTCAATAAGACTGGGTGGGGGGAATATCAAGGTACACCTAGAATTCAGGAGATATTAAGGTACACCTAGAGTAAGGGGATATTTTAAAGCACACTTAAGGTACAGAGGATATTAAGGTACACCTAGAGTACAGGGGATATTAAGGTACACTTAGAGTACAGGGGATATTAAGGTACACTTAGAGTACAGAGGATAATAAGGTACACCTAGAAGGCTCGAGTACAGAGGATATAAAGGTACACTTAGAGTACAGGGGATATCAAGGTACACATAGAGGACAGGGGATATCAAGGTACACCTTGAGTACAGGGGATATTAAGGTACACCTTCAGTACAGGGGATATCAAGGTACACCTACAGTACAGGGGATATTAAGGTACACCTAGAGTACAGGGGATATCAAGGTACTAGCATTCTCAGCAATTACTCACCTAAAATATTTGATTTGATTTAGATTGGAACGGCATCTGGAGAGAAAAGCCTGGGTGGCATCCTTCGGTCGTCCTAAGATGACCCCGCAGTCCTTGCTAGCTAGTCAAACCGGTCTCAGCCCCTATCTCAGGTGCACCCCCCCNCCTTGGACTCGTTCCGCATTTATCTTTAAGGGGCTGTGAGCGTAATTTCAAGTGACCCTCCATGCGAAGATGGCAATGCCCGATTCACAACGGTACCCTTAAAAGATTCGGCTTTAAGTATGAATTAGATATCGCTGTTAATAAATTTAAAAACTGATTATTTACAATTATGGGTTCTCTAAAAAAGTGAATGGCGCATTTCTACTCCAGGAAAACCTCAGAGTTTAACACTTTTAAATTAGAAAAATTACATTATCTTGCACACTATTGATCTGGGTCAATAAACATAATTGAGAATAGTTCTGAAAGGGAGTATCCGGTATATGCTTTTCAGCCTTTTTTTTGCATTTTGCAATGGCAAATAATGGCTCTGACAGAAGATACAAACATGAACCAATCTTTGGTTAACAAAGGGTTAAAAATTTAAAATAACAAAATATATATAAATGTAAAAAATTTAACATTAATTAGAAGAATTTTTAATTTAATTTTTGCATTAGGAATTTTTTTAATTCTTTTATGCTAAGGAATTTTGTGATCGGGGTCGGGGCTAAATTAAAAAAGAAATAAAATGCCCTTACAGTAAGGGATTACTTCCAATCTTATTTAAAATAATCCTACCATATTATTGTCACTAATTTTGCTCTGTATACTTCAATTCATCTCCCAACTAGGCCGAATTAAATTTGTTTTTAGTTCGCTAGATTTAACTATTTCAAAGAAAAAAGGAATGGACGAGGTTTTGTATGTGGTTCGGATGAGAAAATGAAGCGAATGTAGTTCTGATGTAGAAATGATGTGGTTGGCCTTCATTCATGATAGTTATGCCCTTTAAACCAAACCAAACTTTGAGGAGAACTTGAATTAAACCCTATATTTTCCGTACCTAACAGTTGATCCTTGTTTAGGTTTGGGTGTTTATCTACAAGACTGTTCTACCATGCCTTGTCAGATCTCTACAGAAGAGTAAGAATATTTAATATTAGCTCAAGTGTTCGGCGTTGCCTGTGGAATTTTAAAAACACTTTAAAAAATTGAATTTTTGAGAGAGAAAAATAGCCCCATGGGTTACATGGATTTCCTAAAAAAATCAAACAGCCGTTTGGCCAGCTTATAGCTACCGTATATAGAAATATATTTATACAGAAGCTTTATTATATAGAAGATTAAATAATATAGTTCCAGAATAAATTTTGATATGATTTTAAAAGTTCTAATTGGTTGGTTGATTGATTGATTGATTGATTAATTAATGATTGATTGATTAGATAAAGAAGTGTGACCCACCCCTCTCTCTTCACGGTCAGCTGCTCTGGCGAGAGTTCTTCTACTGTGCTTCAACAAAGAATCCAAATTTCGACAAAATGGTCGGAAACCCTATTTGCGTTCAGGTACAGTCTCAATACCAGTGCTTAGGATCCATTATATTTTGATGCGGATCCGGATCCAGGTCATGAACATTTCTTTTAGATTTACCGAATTTGTTTAACAAAGCAGAATTGTCAATTATTTTTCTTCCTTTTTTCTATGTTATAAAACTTTATGAACCAATTAGAGATCCGGAAATTTTAATAATTTCTCTTTTTTCAACAGTTCAAATTTAATTTTTTAGAGTAAAAAAGTTTGTTTTTGCAGTTTTTGGTTGACATTTTGCCCTTGGAATCGGGTCCGTGGATCCGCATGTTGTTGCAGATTCGGATCCAGGAATCCAAAATCTTGTGGATCCAACAGATCCGGATCTTAAGCACTGCTTAATGCCAGAGGGATGTATGTTTTCTTATCATTCCCTAGTATTTCATGAATGTTTGTGCTAAGGAAAACAACATGTTTTTAGCGCTGAAAAGGGGGGGGGTGGGGGGGGGAAGCTGAAATAAATGAAATAGTGAAAAGTATAATGGGGATGATTGTTAGATGCTAGGTCCGTTTTCTAATTTAGATACCCTGGGATAAAAATGATGAAGCACTCGCTAAATGGGCAAATGCACAGACAGGTATTTTTTTTCTTTAAAAAATCGTTGAACTTTTTATTGTCGTACTTTTCCTAACGAAAGTCTTTATTTTTATTTTTCAACGCATTTTTCTCTTTTCTCGTCTTTATAATGATATTTTGACGATATTTTGTTGGTTTTTGTAATTTTCCTAAAATAATAGAAACTAATTTTATTTTTCAAACGTTTGAAAGCTTGGCAGATCAGTTTCTAACGCCTAATTCTTCCGAACAGATTGAACAGATTGATTTAGGGAATTCATCGATTAATTTAGCAATCGATCATTCTAGGATTTCCTTGGATTGACGCGATTATGACGCAGTTGCGCGAAGAGGGTTGGATTCATCATCTTGCGCGGCATGCGGTCGCATGCTTTCTTACTCGTGGGGATCTCTGGGTGTCTTGGGAGGAAGGGATGAAGGTTCGTAATATTTTTTAAATTAGACATTCTGAGAACATACTATATTAACAAAAAATGAATAAAAGATTAAACTTTTGTGTAAAATTGGTCAAATATATAAATTAACGTCAGGTATATATTTTTCTGTAAAATTGGTCAAATATATAAATTAACGTCAGGTATATATTTTTGTGTAAAAGTCAAATATATAAATTAACGTCAGGTATATATTTTTGTGAGCAGATGATTAAAAATTGACCTATCAATTACTATAATCATCATCAGACAGTTTTTTTTAGAAAAAGAAAATTGAATTATATTCATAAAATGAATGGAAGATTTGTTTCGTTGGTTGTAAAAACGTCAATGATCCGGAAAACGTCATCATGAATATTTCATCAAGTTCTGCTGATTTATTTAATTCAAGAAAAATTTACAAAATCTTTTTATTTCATTTTTATGCTTAAACTTAACTTGCCTGTCAAGAATTTTGATTTGAACCCGACTGGTTCAGCCGTATAAAACTTATTTTTGGGATATAAACCAACAAACATTGAAACAATACCAAATCAGACAACGCAAATTAAGTGGTGTTACTCTTTTTAACTAAATCTGATAATCATATATATAATAACGAAATATCAAATTACACTCGTTGATTTATTTACAGAGCCATTATTATCCAATTGAGATATTATTTATAATTTAATAATCAAATAATTTTCTTAAATGCAAATCAAGTTTCGAAGGTATATAAATATCTTGTCCTGATTGATTGCAAGTTGCAACAACACAAGTTTTAAAGTTTAAAGTAGATTAAATATATTTTTTATTAGAGAAAAAAGACATGCAAGAAGTATCACAACACGCAAAATGTTCAACTTTTTATTATATTAATGATTTGTCAGAAATAATATTTTTTTTTAATCCGAAGGTTTTTTCTTTCTCAAAATAGAGTTATGAAATTCAGGCTTAAATTATTCCAGTGCCAATATTTCAGCCAAAATGTGTCCAGTGTTCGGTAATTTGTCTTCAGGGGGATTACTTTTTTTACATGGGGGGGGGTGGGTCACAGCTATCTTTCTTTTTAAGTTTACTTGAAGTCTTGAATTAAGCGCCCCACTGATAGGGACATTGTAGATACATCTTTTAGATCTTCCAGTCTGGTACATTAATTTTTTATTCAGTTTCCTTCTTTTTAATCCTCAGACTAGCAGAGTTTCCACTGTGTGTATTGGCTTTAAAAGGAACCAACCGATTTGGGCATTTTTATTTATTTTGGCAATTGTTTATTGAGTTACAATGGACATTTTAAACCTTTATTTGAGGAACTCATAAACAGACATTTAAAACCTTTTTTTTTAATTACTAGTAAATTGATTAAAATTTCCTTTGTAACTTATATCTCTTGGATAGCTTAACACAAGGTCAGATTTTATGAATGCTGACTGCCCTGCTATCCAGGTGTTTGATGAGCTGCTGCTGGATGCTGACTGGAGCGTGAATGCTGGTTCATGGTTGTGGCTTTCCTGCTCCTCCTTCTTCCAGCAGTTTTTCCACTGTTATTGTCCTGTGAAGTTCGGGAGGAAAGCTGACGCTAACGGGGACTATATCAGGTTTGAGACTTGGCAATGGCCTATCTAGAAATTTATATAAAGGGGGGGAGGGGTATATTCGTCGATAGTTGAATTCGGCTTCCCTTTTTTTATTTCTATAAAAGCTTTATGGCTGACATTTTTATTTCTTTAAACGCTTTATGGCTGACATTTTTTATTTCTTTAAAAGCTTTATGGCCGACATTTTATTATTACTTTAAAAGCTTTATGGCTTACACTTTTCTTTTCTTTAAGAGCTTTATAGCTGATAAGTTTTTTTCTTTAAAAGCTTTATGGCTGACATCTTTTTATTTCTTAAGCTTTAAGGCTGACTTTTTTATTTCTTTAAAAGCTTAATGGCTTATTTTTTTTTCTGTAAATTTTACGATTGACATCTTTTTTTACAAGACATCTTTTTATTTATAAAGCTATACAGTGATGACTAGAAAAGTCTGGAATAGTAAGACGACCTTTAGACTCAAGTGTCTACTTTAAATACTCCAAAAGTATAGGACAAAGCAATTGTGCGGTGTAAACAGACCAATTTCAATTAATTAGGGATTTGATGAAAAACTATTTGCATTATTAGTAAAACTATTCGCTTTAAAACAACATCAAATACACTTAAGTACTGCTATAAAGTCGTCTTCCTACTTCAGAGTTTTCTGGTTATCACTGTATGACTGACATTTTTTTTGTATTATTCATTAATTTTTGTTGAAAGACGTTACCTACCGGTGCTGAAGAATTATCCTACCCGGTATATTCATGAACCCTGGACTGCCCCGGACGCCGTTCAAAAATCCGCTAGATGTATAATTGGCCAGGTAACAAAACAGTTTAGAATCTGTTTTTTACAGACAAGATTGTTTGAGACTTCGTGAATGATGAGGAGATTTACATTCTGTTCAATTCAAATTTAATTTTTTATTGTATTTTTCTGAACAGTGAACAGTTCTTTTGGTTCGAAAGATTTTTATAATCTAGAAATATATGATTACTACTTTAATTATAGAGTGGAATATCCGATTCACAATGATACCTTTAAAAGCTTTGGTTGATTAAGTATAAGTTGAATATCCATGTTTCTCTTTTTTTGAAAAAATGATTATTTTTAATTGTAGTTTATCTGCAACATACAAAAGTGACTTGTGTATTTTAACTGTAGAAGCATGGGAAGGAAATTATCTGAATTAAACACTTCAAGCTAGAATTACGATGATATCTTCCACTTTATTGATCAGATAAACGTTTTTAGGGTACCATTGTAAATGTATGGTGTTTTTAATTTACGACGTTTTCTTTAATCTGGTGTACTCTGTAGGACTACCCTAAACCAATCTGTCATCATCCTGTTGTATCAAAAATCAACATGGAGCGGATGAAACAAGTTTACCAGCAGCTAGCTCACTACAGACAGACTGGACAGGTAAGCAGGGGGTATATATTTGCCTGGAATGATTGCCCCCCCCCCCCCCATTAAAAGTCATTCTTTCCCTGCAATATTAGGAACGATTCCTTGGGTGAATGTTTCGTTGGAAATTATAAAATTATGGACAATACTTATGTCACTAAGACGTGTCCTGGAATTCCTATTTATACATAACCTTTTAGGTCGCTTCACGTCTCCTGTATGAAATTTGTTAGACGTGCCCTGGAATTCCTATTTTCTTCAGAACTCTTAATTTGTCATTTGTTTAGACGGGCCCCGGAATTCCTCAGGATTTATTGAATCAGCTGCCCAAGACTCCTAAGATCCCTAAAGTACCCAATGTTACCGGAGGATCAATGGGACCACCGAATCCTCCGTCAAACGAGAAGAAAAAGGTAATTTTTGAAAATTATGCTTTTACAATTCGAAGTTTTATAATTTTTTTTACGTAGGAGGAATCCAATTATTTTGATTGAGATAGTTATCAAGATGGTTTACCAAAGATTTTTTATAATGAATATAAATTATTATTTAGATTTGTTGTAAAATTAGATTTGGATATTTCAAATTATCTATAAATACTTTCCGATCTACTAGTACATACGGCTTTACTTGAATTTGAAGTTTTTTAATCCTTGGATGAATTTTTTAGATTTTTTCATGTTGATGCCAGAACCTCAATTTTTTAGAGTTTTTGTTCGTATATTGGAAATTTAAAGCTGATAGTTGTGATGTCCTAAAACAAACACTGTTTCACAACCAAAAAAGTTGTTTTCTCTGATGTATTGCAAAAAATAGAATGATTCCCCCCCCCCCTCCCCCTCTCGCTAATAACGTGCAATATACCCCTCTATGCACGAATTGGCAAGAAAAATGAAATTCAGCAATGTATTGCAATAAATAAATATTAAATCAAAACCTAAAGGTAAAGAAACCTTGGAGCTAAATTTGCTCCAGAAAGGTCACAAAGAGTGTTTATTTTTTCAATTATTACAGAGAAAAGGGGTGTTTAATACTAAAGTAAAACAACAAAATTTAAAAAATCGAGGGGGGGGGGCAGGGGTTACACCCCATCCTGATTTTACTAAAATTTTATCAGTAAGAATTATGAACGGGGTTAATTCCAAATGACTGGATTATATCAAATCTGATTGGAAAACAATGAATACTAGCAAATATTCTATTATCCATATCTAGGACGGATATGACTGTATGGATCAGCCGGAAAGTAGCTCACAGATCCAGGAACAAAACTGGATTGGGAGCTGCGAATCCAAGTTCTCTGATCAAACCTGGATTAGATCTAAGAGTCAGGATTGGGTTGGAAACCCTGAAGCCAAGGTTCAAGACCAGACATGGATCGGGAGTAGTACTCCGATTCCTAGAGCATCAGTACTAACAGATCTTCAGACAACCATAGACAACAAGGGATTTACAAACTTAGAGTTTAAAGAGACTGTCAACATTATTTTCCCTGAGTTTTAACTTTATAAACTTTCAGTAAGAGTTGAGTAAGAGTTTAGTTTTACCATTGCAGTTTTTCTTGTTTCAGTTCAGATTGCGTCGCAGGGATTAGAGGTTATCAGATTGTTTAATCGTTTAAAAAAAACTCAAAATTGTTCACTAGCACGCACCTCTGCCCCTTTAGTAAAAGTAAATTCAACCTATATGAAGCATAAAGTCTGACCGCGTCAACCTTGTTGCACCGGCTAGTCCTGTCCATAGAGCTAGGTACAGTACAAACTGCGACCGGAAAGGTTGACCCGGCTCGGAAATTCAAATTTACTATGGCTCCCCGTGCTAGTATATAGTTTTATTTTTTTATTTTAGAAGTAATAAAGTAAGTTTTTGCCGTATGATCCTTCTATTTTATTTAGAACTAAATATTGTGAAGGAAACATAAAATTCATTTACGTATTTCTGAACACCCTTAGATTCTCTTCTGGGCTTTTTGAAAAATTATACTAGAGCAAAATTTGGAGTCTTTTTTTAACGATTAAAAACCCTAATCCCTGTTTTATTGGGCCACCCTGTACGATCTCCCCCCCCCCCCCGGGACACATAAGATCTCTCTCGGAGTTTTTTGACGGTGGACAAAATCGGGAACGTCTGCTAATTATTTATAATTTGAAACCAAAAATTGTATGATTTGATACGTTTCCAATTATGGCTCAAAACCAATCAAAGTTATTTTCTCTTGTAAACAGCTCAATTACAGGATTTCTAGTCAAAATAATCTTTATATCAATTTCGTTAAACTTGGAAGCGTAGTTTTTATTTCAGGGTGGATCAATTTATAGATTATTTCAGTTAAAATAATATTTTTAAGCAAAATTACCAAAATTGAGAGTTTCAGTTTCGTTTCAACACAGTATCAAACAAATGAAGGTGTATTTAAAAGTTTACATACAAACAAAATTAGGATTATGCTTCTCTGAATTGGTTACTTATAATTACAAAAAATTGTAAATTTATGCTTACTTTTTTTAGATGTCTGAATCTTTGCGTCGTGGTGGCAACCTTTTATATTTCAAATGCTGACTACTTCTAGTCGAATACAAATGATTGTAATATCAAAGGGTTATGCTCACTGAGATATAGACAACCCTGAGTTATCAAATTTCTATACAGCTTCAACTTTTAAGTGTCTCAACGCCTTGGCCTTTGGTTCTACCTCACAAATCATAAATACTTTTTTCTATATACATTTTCTATATACATTTTCTATATACATTTTCTGTATACATTTGAAAAATACTATGTCTCTGTTTCTAGCTTAAGTTCAAAATGAGTAGTTGGCAAAATACTGCTCGATTTTTTTGTGAGAGCGTGCACATCTTGATTTGCAGTGTGCCATCATTCATCAGGTTGCAGAGTAGAGTTGCCAAATATGAAATCTCCTAGATCAATGTGTACAGTACAGTACACCTTTAATCTTCCTTTTAATCAGAAGATATTTCCCATAATTGCGCAAAACAGAATAACGAAGAAGCGGAATAGCGAAATGAAGTTTGCGAATATGATTGCGCAAAATGCTATTTTTTCGCTCAAAAATGTTAGATTAGGAAATTATCTTTCATTAGTTAACAACTAGGTCTTGAGTTTTGAGAGCAAAAAGTTTTTTTTAATGCAGGTTTTATTTCATATTTTGTTCCTTAGAGCCTACTATGAAAGCCTGCGCAGTTTCCTTTTTTGTTCTAAAATGTCAAAAGTTTGTTATTTGTTGACCAGGAGTGTACACGACGAGCTGAGGAACAAGCGTCCATCTTATCTCAGACCGGGGGGGTCATCGTGTATGAACAGTACAACGGGGCAAATTCACAATACATTCCGTATATTCAGGTAGGAAAACATAAACATATATTTGGAAATCTTTTTTTGAGAATTTTTATTGAGCCGCATATTTCGGTTACAAAATATTTTTTTATTATTATTTTCAAATGTAACACTGTTTTAAAGATTTTCATTTTTCGTCAATATAATGAAAAATTATTATTTTCAGGAGAGAAAAAATAGTAGTCAATCAACTTCAATTCACCAGACCTCAGGTACAGAGGATCAAAACAAGGCCCATGCATTTCCAAAATTTTATCGATTTTGCTTTAAAAAATACATGACAACCCCCCCCCTCTCCCAAAAAAAACTGACTGTAACTCCTGTAACCTTTAATAAAATTTTTTTTTGCTTTGAATTAATACCTGTCTGATGAGATCATTGAACAATGAATGAGTTCTAGTAAAATCCCAAAAAATTATTCTGTTCTAACTGTAAACTATTCCAGATTGTTTGCCTGTATTATCTGTTTTAACTGTAAACTATTCCAGATTGTCTGCCTGTATTATCTGTTCTATCTGTAAACTATTCCAGATTGTCTGCCTGTATTATGTGTTCTAACTGTAAACTATTCCAGATTGTCTGCTTGTATTATGTGTTCTAACTGTAAAATATTCCAGATTGTCTGCCTGTATTATCTGTTCTAACTGTAAACTATTCCAGATTGTCTCCCTGTATTATCTGTTCTAACTGTAAACTTTTCCAGATTGTCTGCCTGTATTATGTTTTCTAACTGTAAACTATTCCAGATTGTCTACTTTTATTATGTGTTCTAACTGTAAACTATTCCAGATTGTCTGCCTGTATTATCTGTTCTAACTGTAAACTATTCCAGATTGTCTGCCTGTATCATCTGTTTTAACTGTAAACTATTCCAGATTGTTTGCCTGTATTATCTGTTTTAACTGTAAACTATTCCAGATTGTCTGCCTGTATTATCTGTTTTAACTGTAAACTATTCCAGATTGTCTGCCTGTATTATCTGAAGATATTCTACTGCCTATCTCCGACCAGGCCCGCCAGGCGCGCCAGTATGTGGGTAGCCAGGAAAACCTGTCAGTCGGGAAAAATCACACACAGAACATGTCTCTTATGTCACAGGTCGGTCAATGGTCATACAATGCCTGTCATTTCGAGTAAAATTCTAAAATGATTTCCAATTTATCTATGGTCTATCCCACACCCTCTAGGGCGATTTGGAAAATAAGTCATGATGCTTGGTTCGTTAACATTTTAGCTTTTAACTGCTGCTTTGAAGGTCGTCATTTTTTCATTTTATTCAATAAAAATAATGTTCGCAGATTTAAATTGGTGCATTTTCTTAAAATATAGAATTTGGTTTTTTTTATTTTGACTGTCCATAAATATTTCCTGTTGTCTTGTGAGTTGCCACAAAAAAAAAATGGGCCTGATAGGTTCTGCCGTTTTGACGTTTATTGGATAGAAACAAACAAACTGAGAAATGGACAGACAAGCCAAATTTATAAATAGATATTGTGACAAAACAGTCATCCCCCCCATGACCCCCTAAAATACCCTGGGGGGCGGCGTTATTTGTGATTCGGAAGTAAAACGGGCGTGGGTCGCCTTCCCCCTATCATCCATCACTGAAAACATTTCCATGGCTTCTTGATGGGCTGCATCCCCTTTTTAATGGGTTCTTCTTGTAATGATGATGTATCTAGGTTGATATGATGTCTCTAATGGGGAGAGGAGAACCTTCACAAGGACTGATAACTTCTACGGACCAGTCCGGGGCTACAGACGATAAAACTACATTACAGTCAAACACAGCGGGCTCACAGTCAGGAAATGAAAGCTCCGGGTTACAGACCGGGGTTATCAACTCCTGTTTACAGACCGGGGTTAGCAGTTCTGGTTTACAGACCGGGGTTATCGGGTCTGGATCTGTGAGCGACGGGGTTGAGGATATTGGAGTTATTTGTCCCGGTTCATCACAATCATCAACTGAAAGCCGACATTATAACCCGGCACTAAGGTTAGTTCATTGTAATTTGTACCCCACGTTTTATTGAAAGCATTTTTCACTGGGGGGGGGGGGTTAATATGTATAGAAGATCGTTCAAAGATATCAATAAGTGTTTCATAGATTTTGGGTGGAAAAAAAACTTAATCCTCATATTCATGTAATCTCCATTTCTTGGAATTCTGAATATTATATTATACTTTACATATACATTGTAGAATTGTACAATTGTAAATGCACACGCCGTACTTCACTAACACCCCACTGTTCAGTGTGCACAATTTCTGTATCCCGGATATTCATGAAAATATAAAAATAATTCTCTAAATATTTCTGCCAGGTTGGGGGAGTTAAGTGCTTTCTAGTCGGAATTTGATAGATGACATTGTCACTGATGTAGTTACAACATCGTGAAAATGAATGGGTTGGTTTTATTGCATATAAAGACGTTTTATCCTGCATTTAGGTATTGTTGCTAGAGCTCAGTGTGGGTTGGTTCACAATTTTTAAAAAACAACTTTGGATAAAATAAGTAAATAAAGAGCTTATTTAAAATACCCCCAAGCTCTATGGACCCCTAGGTAGTTCAGAAACTGTGCTTGGATAGTTTGTCACAAACTTTCAATGTTTTGGGACTTAAAAGAGATTCCACAAAAATCTCGGAATTTCTACAAATTTCATTTTTTTTTTTTCTGGACATTTGCTTTTCTTACAATATGCCTGAATTTGACTGTGAGAGAAAATATGCATAAAACGAACAATTAACTATTGTTTTTGGTTCACTTTTCCCTTCATTTGCTCTGAGGGTACAAATGCATTTACAGAAGACAGTTTGAAATGTTGGAAGTTCACAATATAAATAACGAAGTAATCCATGTCCCAGCACTACCCCTTTAAAACTACTTTTTATAATTCGTTTTTTTTATTTCCAGGTATTCAGGGTATAATGAAGAAACACAGAATGAATATTTCCCGCAAAGTAACGAGTAAAAATCTCATCACCTAGATCCAGTCCAACCAGCTAACTGGAAATATCGATCGAATCTGATTCTAAAAAGTCGTAAGATCAAGAAAGACAAAGGAAAATAAGTATTGCCCCTGACAGTATGAGATATTATGGTAATGGCCTAATTTTAGCTTATTGGGAAAATATATCATTGTTTGAAGAAACTTGTAACAAGAACAAAAAATGCGTCCTATCCCTCCTGAAAAAAATACGTCCTATCCCTCCTCTGAAAAAATACGTCCTATCCCTCCTGAAAAAATACGTCGTATCCCTTTTCGGTAGAAATACGTCCTATCCCTTCTCCTGAAAAAATACGTTCTGTCCCTCCTAAAAAAATACGTCCTATCCCTCTTACAGATAAAATATGTCCTCTCCCTCCTCTGAAAAAATACGTCCTATCCCTCATCTGAAAAAAATACGTCCTATCCCTCCTCCTGGGAAAATACGTCCTATCTCTACTCCTGGAAAAACGTCCCAAGGGGGAATCCTTGAAAATATTTTGTCCTTCCGTTCTGCCTTGTTATTAAAAAGCTATCAGTGAAAATAGAATCCTGTCCCGAAATAACCTTCAGTATAGTAGGTTAGAATCAGTATGAAATAATTACATTTTTATTCATTATAACTCTTAAAGCTGATCAATGAATCCTCTTTTATTTTTATGTATATTTTAAATAAGTTAAATGAACAGATTTGTTTAAAAAGTCATAATACTCATTTAAGTCGTCATGTCAATTAATGACTGGAAACTTGAAAATATTATCTTATGATCATAGATTTAATTTATATATTATATGAACTAGATTGACAATATTTGGTTAGAAAATTAAATTATTGATATTTACGGTTTAAAGATCATTTCTGAATTCTCATCTGTTTTTGTAACCTATGTAATATGTATTGTTTTGCACGCATGCCGTACACTGAATTCACCACGATGGAACAAGTCTCAACTTTTGTATTTTTTTTTTTCAATTAGATTATAATGTTTCTCAACTATTTCACTTATAATGTTTCTTTACTATTTAAGTTATAACGTTCTTCACTAAGCTTTAACACTTCTTAACTTAGTTATAACGTTTCTCAACTAAGTTAAAACGTTTCCTAACTAAGTTATAACGTTTCTCAACTATTCAGGTTATAACGTTTTTCAGCTAAGGTAAAACGTATCCCAACCATGAAGTTTTCCTGTGGGGGGAAAATATGATTTTTTATAATATTTTTACAGGATTACCCATAAAGGAAGCTTGAGAGACTATTTAACGGAATTTGTTAGGTCTTTTCTTTTTTTTGTGTGACAATTTCTGAGAAATAACATTATAGTATTAATTTAACACATTTGGACAAATTCAACCTTTAGTTTGTTGTATTAAAAAGTTATTTCGTATTGATAGTCTAATACTTTCTGGGTTACCCTGATGTTTTTTCCTCCACTTAAAACGTTAATAGGAGTCGAATGGATTATCAAGTAAAATAGGTGGCAACAGAGAAATGGACTAATTATACACCACGTCATAAGTGTCAAATATAATTCCCTGACTTTAGTTGACATGTTTTTTTAGATTCATTAAAAAAGTGGGAAAACATAGAATAAAGAACACATAAAATTGCACTTTATTTTACTGAAAGATGAGGACTTTATTACAAAATTATCACTATTATTAATAATTTTGTCTGAAACAAAAAATACAGCTGTACTGAGACCTGAGAGTGTACGTTGCCATCTGTTTTACTAGTATCTATGATAGTAGTAAACCATTATGATTTTACCCCGGAAGTTCCTTTTAAGATCTTTAAATCCTCGTATCTTTTTTATAATTATTTTTTTCTCTTTTTTACTCAAATTATCGAAGCTTTTTAAGCTAACTTAACAACAAATCGTTTATTTTTATTGAGGTTGAAGATTAAATCTGTCTGATTGAAGATGGAAAGATGGAGCCATAAAATGTATCCAAAAGAAATTCTGTGTCTATACATTCTTTGGAATGTATAATTTATCCAAAGAAATTTATTGACAAGCTTTAATTCTGTTAAAGTTTTTTAACAAAACTTTGTTTCCACATCCGCCGCGCTCTTTGTGATTGTAAAATTGTTAGGTATTTAACCACTATTGAAATATATAATTATGATGCTGTAAATGTATGCATATTTATTTGTTAATAGTGTAGCAAACTCTCTTGTAAGCTTATTATTATGAGATATTTTAGTTGAGTCCATGGATTGAATATATACCTACAAGTGCGACCTCGTAGTTACCCATGAAAGACGAATTGAAACTCTTATTAAAGATGACATTGTTACCTGTAATTCAAGTACAGGGTGTCCCAAAAAATATGGGAATTCAGTGACGAATTTGATATCGTCTTTGTTATGAATTAGCATTGTAATGCCTAATTTCAAAACCCATAATATTATTATGTCTGCTAGAGTTTATTTTATGTAAAGATCTGTCTATAATGTCTCCGCAAGTGCAAATATATGCTAATGCAAATATATGTTTCAAATGTTACAAATATAAAATGGTTTCTAACTCTCCTACCTTTTTTATCTACAGGGTGTCCCAAAAAACATGGGAATTCAGTGACGAATTCGATATCGTCTTTGTTATGAATTAGCATTGTAATACCTAATTTCAAAAGCCATAATATTATTATGTCTGCTAGAGTTTATTTAATGAAAAGGGTAAAAGACTGAAAAGATGTGTCTATAATGTCTCCGCAAGATGAACAGCGAATACGGACAGGTTTACTCTGTTTGTATACTGTAATTTTCTTGTTTTACTAAGTACAACCGGTTGCAGTCAAAACATAAACAAACAAAATGTAAACATAGCAGACGAAACTCTTACAGATTACAGCTTTCTCAGTAGGTATCACTCTACTAAATCAAAGAATTATTCATAAAGACGATATCGAATTCGTCACTGAATTCCCATGTTTTTTGGGACACCCTGTAAGTGATTTAGAGATGTAATTACAGCAGAAGTTCAGGTTAAACTGCCCATAGTCCCTATATAACTTCGTATCTGCACAGTGCAAAAAATGTAGATCTGAAGCCTATAATAAGACTCATCTCTAATTCAACTTCTAGGTTTACAAATCACATTATACAATACGCACAAGATGAACAGTGAAGACGGACAAGTTTACTCTGTTTGTAGACTGTAATTTTCTTGATTTATTAAGTACAACCGTATACAGTTAAAATAAACAAACAAAATGTGAACATAGCAGACGAAACTCTTACAGATTACAGCTTTCTCTGTAGGTATCGCATACAAACTAAATCTAAGAATTATTTAAAAAGACTCGAATTCGTCACTGAATTTCCATGATTATTGGGACACCCTGTATGACGATTTTAAGGTTTAGGTCTTCTGCCGGGAAAGTTAAATGTCGTCTTTCAATGGCATATTTAATGATTTGGCAAAGTAGGAAACAAGATTACAGTTGCAGCGAATTATGAATATAAGGTAACAGACGGTCGCTAGGGCGGACACGGGGGTGGTGTGGCGGAGTACCTTCGCACCCCCCTGACGAGATTTGGAGTCGATAAATGTTCCCTATTTGATCAAATAATGTCAATTATTTGATAAAAATTTGATTATTGTATGTGCCCCTTTTTTTGCAGTTATTTGAAGGCCGGAATTATTATATTAAATATTTAAAATAAACTTGTTCAAATCAAATCATAGATCCGATACATAGATACATAAAATTAGGAACAAAAACAGGTATTTTGAGCAATTTAGGATTAGGAACAAGGTTAACAAAAAAGAACTATGAACATTATAGGTTTAAAAAAAAGGAACAATACAATAGAACAAATGTTGGATGAGTTAGGAACTAAAAAGGAAGAACTATATTAGGAACATTAAATGAGGACAGGGAATAGAAATAAAGGGAAAGGAAATGGCGCTGGTCTGGCATGGGAAAGCCAGTCGCACCGCTTTGCAGACGAGTTCGGTACTACCTACACTCTTTTGGTGCAGACACACACATGACTACAGTCAAGGAAATTGCAGTACAATGTCGTTAAATAAAATTAAGGCATATTAAACTTATTTTTAAGTAAACAATAAACAGATGTACTCTCTTAGACTGCAAATACCGAGATTCTTACGTACTGTATAAACCTACAGTACACACCTTTGGTTCGGTAAACTTTAAACACACTCTTTTTGTACAGACACGCATACATGACGTTTCCGCCCCCTGCAGAGGAATATTGACTATTGAGTCAGCTTGGATCACATGCACTAAGAACATGAGAACAAAAACAATAATTGAAATTCATAATTTGAGGAATAATAAAAAAGATGGTTAAGAAATTAGGAACAAAAATAAAGTATTTTAAGACAGGGATTTTAGGTCTAGGGACACAGTGTTAGGAATAGGAAGAAAAATAGGAACATTAAGCAAGTTGCAAGTTAGGAAAAAAATGAAAAAAACTAGGAATCAGGAACAAAGTTTAAAGAACCAGAAACGTAATTCGTAAAACATGAAACATGCGCGTATGATGTTACATCCTACAGCTACAGGTTTATTAAGTAAGGATAAAAAATGCAAACATAAATCATGCCCATTGTGCAAAAACGTCATTCATACTGTACATGAATTTGGAACCTAGTCATAAATAGGAACATAAAGCAAGATTCGCAAGATAAGAACAAATGAAATTACTGGGGAAAGTTATATGCATGCAAATTAGGAACAGTATTACAATTTTGATAAAGAAGTAAGGCTGGAACATTACTATATGCATATGCAAGTCAGATAGGAACAATATTAAAATATAAGTCTTCCCCAGGCCCGTGTCCAGGGAGGGGTGCACGGGGTCATGTGCACCCCCCTTCCTCCTTATGGGGGTGCAATGGCGAATTTGTACCCTCCCCCCTGTTAAATGATTTGTTTGGTATAATCTACTCCTGAATTTTTTTTGCATCATTCTGTATAATGTATATGGGCTCCAAAACAATTGCTAAATAAAGCTGTTTCCTCAAACAAACAAAATAAACAGACATACATGAATCATGATTGTATAAACAAATAAATAAATATATGTTTCAGTATATGTATCAATAAATCAGTTCCTTGAATTTTGCAGAAAATTCAAGCTTGTTTTCATACCAAAACTATAAAAACATACCGAAACAACCTCCCGCCTCGCTCACTACGTTTTACTCGCTGATCCTGGGCGACCTGTGTCCGAATTTAATGAATTTAAGCCGCGTTTTAAATCACCTAAAAACCGGTTTTAATTAAGCGTCGGCTTAAATCTTAGAAAACCTAATACAGTTTCAAGTGGAACTAACCAAATTTGAGCCGCGGTTTAAATTTAAGCCGCCGCTCAAATTCTTTAAATTCGGCCTCTGGGCCCATTAAAACACCTCAGAATTTTTCGTTCTTATTCAGAGATTATTCTGATGCTATGAATTCTCGTCCCCCCCCCCCTAAACGGACGTATCTGAAATCTATTCCTTTGTGGCTCAGGAATTTACAACATCATAATTAGAAGAGTACTTTGTTTGATATCAGCCATACATGGGAAATTAGTCATGAAATTAGTGCTAGTTCTTTGTCCAGCTGCAAATATTTTGACTGTTCTATGGATGGGCAAAGAACAGTCATGATCTAACGATTTTACTTGATGAACATAAGATCCATTCCTGCCAGTACTTCATAGTCCAGCCTCATCCTGGAGCACGTCGCACTAACATCAATGATAGTATGAAAGTTGTGGTTGCTGTTTGTATTCTATAATGTGACAGAGGAGTAAAATATTGCAGAATTAATCACTAATTTAGATTAACATGACTTGGATTGATCAGAAGGCGTTTTTTAAGATTTAAAAGCTTTAATTTAAAGTTATTGGCCTATCTTTAACAACTTTTACTTTAAAAGTTAACTAGGTAAAATCAATATGCAGAGTCCTCTAGCGGTTAAATTCTCAACTTGCTTTCCGTCATTCTCAGGAACTATAATTGCCTCAGGCCTGGAGTAATAGGTAAAACGTACCGGGCGTCTAAATTAAGATTATTATTGCTAAGGTGCGTACCAGAATTCTAGGGCAATTTTGTACAAATAGTGTTCAAAGTTATTGCTCTCCCTCCCCCACCCCCTTTAAAATCACGTAGTTTGACCAAATTAATGTTTTTCAGTCCCACGAAACATGACCAATAGCTTATGATAACCAAAAATTATCGTCAATTTGACTCTGAGCCTGAGCATCGAGCAGGAAGATCGAAAATGTTCTAAAATATCTGTGTAAGCGAAAGTATAAGTATGAGATATACATACGCCCATATTGATTGAGATCCGTAGAAATTAAATTCATAAAATTATTTTTAAAAAAAAATAATTTTAAAAATGTTTCTGAACTCGCGAAAAAACTTTATTGATTATTCTTACAACTCTGAACTCAAAATTCTCATAATTAAAGTGCTTTTTTAGGAGTTTTAAGTCGAAAAAAAACCCGGAATTTTTCATTTGTTGTAGGCAGATTTGCAATATAGTCTTTTTTTGTCCACTCCCTTTAAATTGTTGGATTGTGTAGAACCTGCAGTAAGAATTTCCTGCATGTACTTAGTCACTATCTTTAGCCTGCCATAATCCGTATAATAGTATTTCTGTACTCTGTAGTCCTCTATACCCTTTTAATTCTCTTATAGCCTACAAAATTCCTGTTTAGGCCGATTTTTTCTTCTATCACAATTTATGCAATATCTTGGCAGTTAGTTTTCGTGTACCCATAAATGTCATGTTTTGTAGGTCACATATAAAAAGTATCATGTGATGTATGACAGTATTTTTGAGAGAGAGGATATAAATTAAATGTTCATGACTTTTTTCAAATTTAAAAAGAGAAAATAGCAGAAAATTACAGAATTGTAAACCTATAACTAAGCCATTTATCGAAAGAATTTATCAAATGTCGTATTCTTCACTTTCTGATAATGGAATGTTGCAGATATTTAGTTTTTTTTAATTAAATGATTATAAGCTCTTTAAAACTGTTCCCGCATATGGCTATAAATTTATTTATTTGCGCAAATACTGAGATTTACGTAAAATAGTAAAAAAAAAACATTGAAAAATTGTTAAGACAACATTTCATAAATTCTTTCGATATATGGCTC